TCTATAAAGGGCCAAATACTAAACATTTTAGGCTTTGCGATCATTGGGTCTCTGTTACCACAATTAAACTCTGCCATTGTAGTGCCTAAGTAGCTATAAGCATTACATAAAGGAAAGGGCTCTGAAATGAAAATTTAACATAATACACAATTTATGTGTCATGTAATAGTCTTCCTTTTTAAAAGAATTTTTCCCCAGCCATTAAAAACATAAAAATTATTCTTAATTCATGAGCTATACCAAAACAGGTAGCAGACGAGATCTGGCCAGCAGGCCTAAAGTTTCCTGACCTCTGTTCTAACATGTTATCGCTTTAAACTTATTCTCCCATTGTCAGGTGTTTAAATGTTCCTTCTTTGCTGCTTATAAATGGCACAAACGTTTGGTTATTTTTATGTGTAGAGAATTGTTTTATTATTGTGGGTGCTCAGAAATTCAACTTTTGTTTAAGGATATGACCATTTTTAGGGTTCTTAGTACAAATTACCAAATTGTTTTTAAAGGAATATACACTACAGTTCCCCTATATCACACATTCCTATCAGCAGTGTAAGTATCTTTTAAAAACCCTCAGCAGCATTCAAAACAAAACAGTACAAAAGAAAACTTTATTTTTTTTAAGTGAAAATTATCTCCTTTTTAACCTCACTGATAATCAGAAATAGAAATTGATCACTTTTCACTATATCCAATAAATAACATTTTGTCTTTTGTAAATAGTATGTACATAACATTCCTTCTGTCCACTTAGTTTTCATTATTTCCTAAGGATCTGTATAAGTTTAACATACTATTAAAAATAATTATTTATTATATTTGTGACCTTTTCCCTGTTGACTTTTACAGAAAGAAGGGTTTTAAAATGCTTGGAGTAAATGGTTGAGACTCTTTTTCCGTACTGTTCTACTGAAGTTTGCTATTTTTGTCTGACATTTTACACATTTTACTCTTCTCTGACAGAATGAATGCCAGCTTTATACAGCACGAGCCAAATTGATCTCCATGCCCTATCCCTAAATAGCTAGCAAGCCATCTGAACGCTACATATTCTTCCCCTCCTTATTAATTTCTGATGACTCTTTTTGACCTTTACATATGGGTCTGTTCTCCAGTTCTGCTTTTGCTCCAGTATACTATGATAACCCTATTATATTTATACTACTGTGGTGTACATGTGCTTTAATTCTAGTGTTTTATGTGCCTGATAGAGCCAGCTTTCTCTTATTGCTTCTATTTTTATGTTTCTTAGCTTCTCTTGAATAGCCTTCTAAATAAACTTTAGAATTTCATAAAGCCTTGCCCCACCTAAAAAAACAATGAGATATTTGCATTTTCTGATTTAGAGAAAAAATCGATAGTTATCACTCAGCATCCATCACCATGGAATGTCTGTTTTTAAGGCTTCTTTTATAATTCTCAGTTCAGTTTTGTAGTGTGCTTTTCTCTAAGAAGTAATAAAGGTGTCTTTGAAGTGGGGAAAGCCTATTTGGAAATCAGGAACTCCCTGAATACAGCAAAGCTACAATTCCTTAGATGCCACCAATTTAGAATCTGAAATAATTAGGACTTCCTAGTGACTGATGTAAAGTTTATCTCTTCTATCCTAAAAGAAGAGGGGAAAGCCTGATAAGTAAATTGAATAGTACAGATATTGGAGGTCAACATATGCCCTGCTTAAGGGAACAAACTTTTCAAGAACTTTGGAAGAATACTTTCATATATGTGCTATGTGTCATTATGAATCAGTCTTATTTAAAGTACAAATGGCCAAGTATAGGTTAAGTTCTTATAGGTATTCAAAAACAAGTTTCTTTAAATATCCTTAATTCAGACCAGCTTTCCCACTTGCCCCAAATTAAAAGAAAAAAAAAAGACTTTCATGTACACATTTGCTAGAGGTTACAAATCACAAAAGCAAAGGATTGTCAACACGCAATACTTAAGACCACCCAATACACTGCCTTAATAAAATTTGTTAATGGGTGTAGCACATACAAGGTGTTAAATTAAGCTCAGACAATTAAGTTTGCAAACTCATTCTAGAAAAAGTACTACATACCTCATTGCTGAATATCACTATGGTCATCTTCGAAGTACTCCCCTTAAGAAGCTATGCACCGACTCCAGCACCTAGTCCACCCTTCAAAGCAATTTTGGAACTCTTTTCCTGGAACGGCCATCAGAGTTGTCGTCATATTACTTTGATGTCCTGAATGTCAGCAAAATGTCTTCCTTTCAATTATTTCCTTCCCACAATAATATCAGATAATAATTTCCTGATTAGCTGATAGCTCCATATAAACACAAGTAATTCCAGGCCATAATCCTTAGCACATTGTGCCTGCATAGCTTTGAAGGTAGGAATAGTTGGTGAGAGATGAGTAGGGACTGACTGATATCTCTCAAGGGTGGGGACCATGATTATTCATGTTTTTATCCCTTTAATTCCCAAAGCATTTTATTATAACTAAAGATCTCTTGAAACTTAAGACTCTTAAGGGTGACAGTGGTACAATTTTCCCTCTAATAATCCCTTCCTATACACTGAAATTTAAAACTTTAGCTCCAGTTTGTCTCTCACTCTGTTAGTCAACATTAGGGAATCAAGATGTTAACTAGAGATGAGTGGATCAAAAGGAGTCCCTTTTGCCTGCAGCTAAGTGCCCACAGGTGCTAATGAAAGTCATGTTCTAGGGTTATGTTCATGGCACACATAGAGATATTGCATATTTCATACTGAGCCCTTTGTAGCTAAAAATGATGTGATACACCAACATAGTGGAAGTACTAGAAAACTCTGCTGTAGGGTGTGTGTTTGTGGGAATGTGGATGAAGTCACCAAATTCTTTTGTCTTTACCAGGAATAAATGTCACTTCTCAGGTACACCTAAAGAAATGTCATCATATTAAAAGTAATTGGAGATGACAATGAAATTTCAGTTTTAAGAAAATTTTGGTATTCTCTTTATATTAAAGATTTTATAAACTTGGATTTCTTTACAGGTGCCAAAGAACGTTCTGAAATCTATGAAGCATTTGAAAACATCTATCCTATTCTAAAGGGTTTTAAAAAAGCCTGAGTATATCATTCACCATCTCATAGTATATTGGTTTGTGAATGTGCATAAACCCAGCACAGAAATAGCTGTTTTTTTCTACCTTTAATTATAGATATTCCATGCACATTTTGACTTTGCTTATTAAAGGGTGATTCTATGTGAGTAACCATGCCTAAGAAATGGAGAAAATTTCTTATTCAAAATGACTCTTATGTTATTTTAAAAACTGAACAAGTAAACCTATTTCAGAATTTGAGAGATTTAGGGCCTTGTTAGAGTGATTTTTGTAGCAGCATTAAAATGTAATGTTCTGCTCTTGTTAAAGATGTAGTGCATAATGTGTTCTCTTAAAATGCATAGCAATATATAGAAATTTCAAATAACTGCATAAAATAGATATTATCTGTAATATCTAGCAGGATAGAAATGAATGTGTCTATTTTTTCCTTGTAAATTATTGAGTTGATGATCCTGGTCATTAGGTACAGGCACTGTGAAGGATCCTGTGAGATGCAAATGAAACACGGAAGTTGGAAATCTTATGAAGAATCAAATATTTTTTTGTTTGAAATGATTAGAGAAAATTATTTGTCTCACTTAAAAATAAATCTTATACTTTCAGGAACCGTTCGGGTTTAGTGTAAGCTCTATTTTGAAACAGCATAAAGAATTTTTGCTTTTTGTGTACTTTTATAATCCTGTGTAATTGTATTATAACAGGCCAGATCAGACTAAGAGGATAGAGCAAAGGGTTTAGATTCAAGACCTAATTAGTTTCTGGAATCATCAGCATTTGATGGAGATGTGGAGGTTATCAGGGAGGGACCAGGCTAACGTGACTCATAATTCCTGGCCCCAACTGGTCAGTGATTATGTCTTTCACTAAGATGAGGAAAAAGATTTGTGAGGAGAGAGTTCAGTTTCCAAAATGCTGAGCTTGTGGTGGCCACAGTACATACATCACTTGATGCCTAGCAGGCAGTTATGAATGTTGGGGTATGGAACTTGGCAAAGCAGTTCCTACTAGAGAGAGGGTTGAGGGCAGTCATCCATTGATAAGCTATTAAAAATAATCCTTGAGAATCACTGCTCTAGATAATTTGACCTATAAGTCCACTTTTCTTTTTTCCTTTTGTGGGTTAGAGGCATATTCATTGATTACTCTGATATAATTTCTGACCCACCCTATTTATCCCTCTCCCCAGAAAGAAACTGGTAGTAATCCTATATAGGTTAAATTCTACCTGGTTCAAATTCTTAGGGTGTAGCCCAGAGTAGGGGAGGAATGTTAGTCATTAATTTAATTGAAATTCTCTTCTCAGAAAGATAAAACATTGAGTTCCACGTTCAGTAGTATGGTGGTTTCCACTAGTTAGCTAATAGTATCGGTAGAGTATTATCAGATTACTATTAAACGTGTTTGCTTAGTAATTCTCACGATGTTAGGTAGGCACTGTGATTATACCTCCATTTGCCAAATGAAAACACAGGCACAGAGATGTTAGGAATTTGCCCCAAATCACACAGCTATTAAGGAAGTCAGTGAGCCAAAATTAAACTTCATTCCAAGACTCAATCCCGTCACCCAACCTTGTTAGCCAATTTTTTAAGCATCCATAGCGAATTAAAGAAATTCCCTTATTTTGTTCTCAATCCGTTTTCCCATAACCCTTAGGGCATCGTATTACTATTTGTTGCACAAGTTTGAGGTGTTGACTTCTCGCCTTGGCATGATACAGCGGATGATGACATTTTATTTGGCTGATTCGCCGCTCGAACACAATTCTCCTTGTTTTGGGACCTGCTGCCCTTCAGCGGACAGGAAAAGCAACAGCACCGCCCGCAGCCAGGGAGGCTGGGCGAGAGGCTCGCCAGCACCCACGCCTGCCCGCCGGGCACCGCCCCAGGCCCCTCCTCCTCGCCCAGGATGCATCTGGTTGAAAACAAAATCCCACGTGACTGGCTCTGCTGTTAGTCTATCATGGCGTCTCCCAGTGGGAAGGGATCCCGGGCGCCGGAGGCTCCTGGCTGCGGGCCCCGGCCGCTCGCCCGGGACCTAGTGGACTCGGTGGACGACGCGGAGGGGCTGTACGTGGCGGTCGAGCGGTGTCCGCTGTGCAACACCACCCGCCGGCGGCTGACCTGCGCCAAGTGCGTCCAGAACGGCGATTTCGTCTACTTCGACGGCCGCGACCGTGAGAGGTAGGGCAGCCGCCACAGCCTTATTGTTCCTTCCTCGGGTGTCTCCTCCGCTCGGAGGCTGGAGCCTGAGGCCGGGGTCCGGACCCCGGAGCCCCGCAAGAGGAGAGGGAGATAGGGAGGATAGCTGCTTTGTTCCCAGGGGACGATCGGAGCCAGATGAGGGAAGGTTGCCGTTTCTCCATAACCCACCCGAGAGGAGTCTGAGCCCACCGTGCTCCTGGGTACCAGGGAAAATGGATAGACGGTGATCCTGGAGACGTCTTCCCCTGTTGCCGCTTATAGAGTTGGATTCTCTGCACTTTGCTGTATTCCCATTCGAAGCTTGGTTTAACCTTTATCTTCGAAAGAACATTCATTCTCTAGAGGAGAGACCAAAAGAGAACCATGTAACTGGTTAAGAGGGATTCTGGCCCTGGAAGCGTGTGTCACACACAGGTGGATCTTGTTATCAGACATGCTTACTTTAATGTGTGAACTAGGACTAGCTAGTTGCTCCCTGATTGTTTTGCATGCTAAGGAGTTTGGGGATGTGTTTTGGTATTTGTCTTAAAATCCAGAATGGGAGCTGTAAACCCTTACATAAGAGAACCGAATTCAGGAACATGTTTTGGCCTTATTTTGAAATCCAGAGAGCTACAAGTCCTTGGTTAATTGAAAAATTAGTGTGATTAGCTGAAAGGTCTCTCATTTACAGCTTCTTTCAATAACTCAGTGTCCATGATAGTAAGATAGCTAACTTTTGAGCACAAAAGTTGGGGTATTAATTCATTTACAACAACCCAGTAGGTTATTATCCCCAGCTTACTGCTGAGGAAACTGCACACAGTAAATGCTTTGCCCTCAGTCACATAGATAGTAAGTGTAGGGACCCGAATTAAAACCCAGGCAGCCTGAACCTATATATACCATGCACTTAACTACTGGATAGTACACCCTGTGTATTTGGAAACGTTTTGAGTTCCTAGTATTCCTGTGATCATGAGTGGAGTTCGTTTCTTTCTCTTTTGAGGACATTTGCAGAATGTAATCTTTTTAGTTTATTGCTGTGTCTCGATGCACTTGATGACTTTATAAACTGATAGCTTTAAAATTAAACCAGTTGTTTTTTGTAAGAATACTAGGTATGAGGTGGAAATGTCTAAGAGATGGGGTTTTTCAAAAGTTCAGTTCTGGACCTCTATCTATACACTTTCCTATGCTCATTCTCAATATTTAAGTACTGTCTATATGCTGAAGGCTACCAGACTAGTATCTCCAACTTAGACCTCTCTGGGATCCAGAAAACAGCTGCCTGCTCAATGTCTATATTTAAATTTGTAATAAGTATCTCCATCTTGGCAAACTGAACTTAACTATTTTCCATCATAAATCTGTTACTCCCATGCTCATGCCAACCCAGTAAATGGTAACCTCACTCTTCTTTGGGACAGGCCAAAAAACTTCTAGTCTTCCTGGGCTCCTCTCATAATACCACTCTATTTAATCCCATCAACAAATTCTATCCACTCTTCAAAACCTAAATCTGACCCTTTTGCCACCTCCTGGGCGGATCCACCAAAGGATTATGGCTTCTCCAGTCTCTGCTTCCACCTTTGCTCCCTTATAAGGTGTTATTCCCATACTGCAACCAGTTAACACCACTTATTCATTCATTACTCGGTTGAAATCTTTCAGGGGTTTCCTGTTCTGCCTCAAAATAAGCCATAGTCCTTAAACAGAGTTCTATATTGCCTATTCCTCCTCTGATCTCCTGTTATTTTTTTTTCCCCTACCTACTCTGCTATACCACTCTGGCCTCCTTGCCAGTCCTCAAACATCCAAGAACACTTCCGCCTCATGGCTACTGCAGTCTTCCAGAAACTCTTTTCTCCCAGAAATCTTCAAGCCTGCCTCTTTTGTTTTCTTTAGGCCTCTGCTCAGACATTAGAGAAGTTCTTTTTGACCATTCAATTAAAATAGTAACTTCCTTTCCTTGTTACCCTACTTGATTGTTTTCCATAGCCCTTATCACCATCTTATGGCTCATGTATTAATGTCTAACTTCCCTCCACTCCAGTGATATAAGCTCTGTGAGGGCAAGATTAATCAGTTTTGTCCTCTACTGTATCATCACATAATAGAAGCTTAAAAGAGATTTGTTGAATGAATCTACCCCTCCTTCCCAAATATAGCCTGATCTGGAACCATTTTATTTCTAGCCATCATGATCCATTTGTTTACTAAAGCCAGAAGCCGGGGAGTTATCCTAGACTTTTCCTTTTTTCTTATGCCATGTATCCAAATCATTGGCAAGTCTAACTGGAACTGAGCCAAAATAGATCTTGAATCCATCTACTTCTAGTCCAGACTGCCATCATTTCTCTCCTGGCCACTTGTTGGTTTCCTTTTTTTCCCCCCCAAATTCAAACTCCTCCACATCCCCGTTGGCCTCTACACAGCAGCCACTGTAGAAATGTAAATCAGATAATGTCATTGTTTTGCTTAAACCTTTCAATGGCTTTCTACTGCATTTAAAATAAAATTAATTAATTAGGACATAAAAGATAAAATGAATAAATTCAGGCTCCTTCCCATGGCATATAAAGTCCCATGTGATTTGGCTGCTGCTTACCTTCTGACTTTGGCTGTGTGGTTGAATTTAAAAGATAGGCTTTGGATTCATGCTGCATTGAATTGAATCCAAGTTCCACCCCTTGCTGTGTGATTTTGGACAAGTTTCTTAACCTTGCCTATGCTTGTTTATTTCATTTTGAAAATGGTGGGTTGTCTAACTTTATAGGCTGCTGGTAGTGATTACATAAGAGGATGGATTAAAGTACAATACTTAGCATGATGTTATATTAAGCACTCAAAAAGTAAACTCATGCCGTGCTCCCTCAAATTCACTGCTCCATAGTCAGGGGCCTTTTCTCAAATCCACAAACACATGAAACTTTTCCACCACTGGCTTTTTTCCACTTGCTGTTCCCTCTGTCTGGAACACTTGTCCTCCTGATTGGCATCTTGTCTCTCATGTCTTAACTTAAATGTCACTTCCTTAGCGAGGCCTTCCCCGACTTTCACTAAGGTAGGTTTCCACTTCCATATCTCCCTCCATTCATTTCTCTCGCAATACTCAATTCCTTCTTTGTACCGAGCATGATGTGTATGTAATGTTATTTAATTGAGGATAACCGCATCCAGAATGTAGTTCCATGACGGCGTGAATTTTGCTTTTTTTCAATCAGATCACCAGTGCTTACTGAAACAGCAGTGGGTAGCACATAGTAGGCATGTTGTTGAAGGAATGACAAAGACAATAGAACTTTAAACAGCAAATAAACTCTGAGCATTAAAGTGAATTTTCGAAGAGTGATATGTTCTAGTGGATTTCTTTTTCTGACCAAGAAAAATAAAGAGCAAATACCAGACCATTCAAAATTGAGAACTGAAAAAGAAAATTTAGGGTTCAGGGACAGCAAGTCTGCCACAGTGACCTGCAAGCCAGCTTCATTTCCCTTCCCATCTTTCCCTTTTCTGAACTGTGTGTTTCCTAAGAAGAGGAGTTTGTTTTCCTTCCTTTCCAGAACAATGCCCAGTATCTAGTAGGATGAAAGAATTGAGACCCAGGATCTCTGTCCTAATAACCAAATCATTTTTAATGAGCTCTCATTGGGTGCTCATTAAATATTCTGGCAAGTTACAGAGAAAGGCAGGTCTCTGCTTAAAGGTTGATTGTGAGATATTCTGTATTCAGTATTTACAAGCAATTTTGTATTCTCTGCTTTGCTTTCAGACTCTTTTACTGTATGAGAAGTTCCTTGCTAACTGTGGGAAACCACTTGGAGATAAAATATGGAGCTTTATACAGCATAGTTTAAAAACCCTTGTTTAAGCTCTGATTTTTTGTTTTCTGTAAATTGGCCAAATTTGTTGTGTCTGCATGGATTTGAATGTGATGAGGCCTATCAAAGTTCTTGTAAATGTAAATATTTTTTTCTAGTTTCATTAATAGACTAGCTGAATATACAAGTTTTAATGGTTTAACAGTTCAAGGAAAATTAGATATTAAAGATTAAGTCTATCTCACAATAATTAGCTCCTTTGATTCCTAAGAAGGGAACATGTGTTCTTTATATAATTTTGTTGACAGTATGAATTTGGCAGATAGATTGATTGAAAAATGTCTAAACTCATTACTTTTTTGTTGTCTAGTAAGAAGACTTCCTTATACTTGTGTATCCTCACCAACACTATCCTTTCCTCGTCTCCCACCTTGGTCTCAGTCCTAAAACAATACCCACTTGCTTCTCTGCTTTTTCACCTGCCTTTTAACTTGTGTGCTTCTTTAAGAAATGAAGAGGACTGATACTAAGTAGTATTGCCAACACAATCTTCTTTGGATCTTGTACTGGTGAACATTGTAAAATTATAGGTCTTTTAACAGGAATATAATTTTCTGGATTGTACATTTATCTGACACCAAAAAAAGCACTGTTAATAGATAACTGACAAGTTGAAGTCATCTTTTTAGTCAAAACTAGAAAGAAATTGGATATCGATTTATGATAGGTGTAGGAATGGAATGGGAACATAATCTGAGGATACCTAGAGACCGTAGCACCAGGAAAATCTGCATGCTGATTTAGGAACCAGTTATTTTTATTTTATATTTTTCAATTACAGTTGATATTCAATATTATTTTATATTAGCTTCAGGTATACAGCACAGTGGTCAGACATTTATATAATTTATGAAATGATCCCCCAATAAGTCTAGTACCCACCTGGCACCATACCTAGTTATTACAATATTATTGACTATATCCCCTATGCTGTTTTTTACATCCCCATGATTATTTTGTAACTACCAATTTGTGCTTCTTAATCCCTTCCCCTTTTTTTTCACCCAGCCCCCAACCCCTCTCCCATCTGGCAACCATTAATTTGTTCTGTGTGTCTGTGAGTCTGTTTCTGTTTTGCTTGTTTATTCTTTAGGTTCCAATATAAGTGAAATCATA